GCTACAAATTATTGTAAACCTTTGTCACTGTTATGCATAAAACTGGGACTCCCTCTCTCGGCTTCCTTAGTTAACTTTATCTGACCTTTCTCCGCCTGTCCCTCCATACACACTTCCTAGCTTCTCCTAACTACAGCTCTACTCGTTACTTGTGTAAGATCTACTTCTGTATAACTCACACAAATGAGAATATGTGGCATTTTTCTTATGGCTCATTTTTTTCGACATACCCCAGTTTAATTTGTACTCCCACAAAGGATAGAATCTTTATGACTAGACAGTATTCCACCACAGACTTGTATCCCATTTAGAAGGGACATTTCTCACAGGCTCAGAGATATCTAGATAGGTAGGTAGATAGATAGATAGGTAGAGAGAGAGATAGATAGATAGATAGATAGATAGATCTAAGATGCTTTGAGAGTTCTCCAAAAATGCAGAGCAGACTTCTAAGAGCCAAGAGGAATGCTCAGCACAGAGTCAAGAATAATAAATAAGTACTGAGTGTGTGTGTGTGTGGGGGGGTGCAGCTCATTCCCAGGAGGCAGAGGCAAAGTGATCACTGAAGTTTGAGAATAGCTTTGTCTACACAGTGCGTTTCAGATCAGCCACGGCTACATAATGAGAATTCATCTAGAAGCAAGGTAAAACAAAAGAATAATGTATAAGAATGCAGGCAAGTTATGTTCAGTTTCCTGGTGCTTCCATATAAAGTAACCTTCCCCAATACCTTTTGCAATATTCTTTCTATGGAAGTATGATTTATCACAACAAAAAATGTACTTATCCTGTGGATACAGATAAAGGAGTTATACAATAGTGTAAAACCAGGTAAACCATCAGTTTCAAATAAGATACAAATAAGCCAATAGCCAAGGGCTAAGAATGTAGCTCAGTGGGTAGAGTGCTCATCTGTCTCTTCCAGAGCCTTGGGTCTGGTCCCTAACAACAACAACAACAACAACAACAACAACAACAACAACAACAACACACACACACACAGCATCTCTGTAACTTCAGAAAGCTTCACAAACACAGCGTCTAGTCACTTTCTGGTCATCACAGCCAATTATAGGTCTGATTTCTATAGACATGAATTAGTTCTGATAACTGGAATTATACAATACATAGTATTTTGCTTAGGTCTTAACTGCATGTTTGTTTTCAGCTTGACATCTAAGGCAGGCTGCCATTAACGTCCCAGCCCCACATGGCTACCGCGTTCCACTTCTTGAGGGAGAACATCTTGTCGCCCCCACACACTGCTTGCCGTCCTCCATGTAGGCCATGGCCGCCGCCAATGGATGGATTTTAAACAAACAGTTTTAATTTTAAATAAAGGTATACCGGTTTTCTTTTTTCTTCCTGTTAAGATGTTGTTATTTTTAGTTTAAAGTTCTGGAGATGGTAATTTTGGTAAGAAGGTAACCAGGAGAAAATTTTGTGTAAAATGTCTCATCACGGCACGGTTGCTAAATGACAACAATCTTTAAAAGAAGGGATTCTTTTAAAGACTAGGAAAAAGAGGCCATGTTCCTTCACGGCCCTAGTCTGATCAGGTCACTATCACAAAAAAAGCCTTAGGCTAAACTGCCTATAAAAAAAATGATTCTGTTGCTCACTGTTTGGAAGGTGGGAAGTCCAAGAACAGATCATCTAGCCGGAACGTGGCACACAGACAATCCTCCTCTCCCTGCATTCTCATTCAGTAGGCGCTTGGTCCCCTGGTGTAAGACAATAATCCCATCCATAATGATTCTGCCCTGATGATCTAATCTCCCCAGCCTCACCCTTAGCAAAATCAAACTGGAGTTAGCTTTCCATGTAGTAATGCCGAAAGGTCACACAGATTCAGATCGGTGCTCGTTGGCAGCAATGGCGGTCCACTCCCTAAATCTGTCTCACTTTGATTTATTTATTTATTTTTTCTAACAAACAAAGAGAAAAGCATCAAAAGACAGACAGGTAGCCATCAGAGACTCTGAGGAAAAGCTGACTAGCCAGTTTTTAGAAGGGATCAAAGTTGGAGTGGCCGTGGGGATCAGAGAGCAGGATGGGAGGACAAGGTTTCTGGGAGGAGGAGTGACCCCTGCTGCGTCTGCTTGATGATGGTCCTCCACTGAAGTCTGGCTTTCAAAGGAAAGAATCTGAGCGGTCACATGTGTAGTATAAGGGCTGTGGATGGCAGTCATTTCTCAAAAACACGCTCAGTAGGTGAGAGGAATCATTGTTCAAATAGAATAGAGGTACTGCTACTATAATAACCAGGGCCAGACACAAGGCAGATGACCCAGTAAGTCTATTGCCTGTGTATCTTTTAGCTTGGATGTATGTCTCCTGTTTACATAAAATTAAATAACTTATCCTCTTACCAGTGAGTATTTCCTCCAGTCACTGAGGCTGTTGAAGTTAGATCCCTGCCTAGGTCAGATCTGGGAGAGCAGAGTGCACCCAATCAGACCTCTTTAGGTTTTGTTGTTACTGCCATTTTCAGTCTTGACGTTGACAGTGCCGTTATGATTAGTTAGGATTTACCTTTTGGAACTAAAATGCTGATTCTGTGAAATTTATTATTAAGTGAGGGAAAAAAAACCCAGATGTACCAAATAAAATATGGGATTTGATCAAGATTGGAAGTAAATTAGAAGCAACAGAAATAGGCCCAGCAAGAAGGCTCAGCTGGTAAGGTTGCATTCTGCCAAGCTTGACGACCTGAGCTCAATCCCCAGCAGCCATAGGGTGGAAGGAGAGGATGAACGCACACGAGATGCCCTTTGACTTTCATACCCACACTGCAGCGCACAAGTGTCTGCACACATGCATTAATAAATACATAAACAAAACAAAGAATTTAAAAAGAAGGCTTTATAAAACGGAATTGTGTGTGTTAGATTCTATGTTTTGGAAAGTTACTTTAAAGGTTATGTTTCAGCTGGGCATGATGGCATGATGCCTTTAATCGTCAAGAGGCAGAGGCAGGAGGATCTCTGAGTTTGAGGCCATCCTGGTCTATATAGGGAGTTCTAGGCAAGTGAAGGCTACATGGAAAGGGCCTGTCTCAAGTGTGTGTGTATATCTCAAATATAAATATGAAGTAGAATTAGGTAGAAAAGACTAATTATTAGAAACTGATTCATTTACTGATTTACATAAAGCACAGGCCACTCTGCCTGTTTGCCAGACATGACTTCACTTGCTCCTGGAACAGAGTGACCTGGGGGAAAAGCTGAAACAATGGGTCATTGCCCTTAATAACTTCCTGGTTGCCAAGTATGCTTCTGTCAAATCCCACTTGCTTGCTTGCCCCACCTTGTGACTTTAGAGTAAAAAATGAAAATATAAAACTGGACTTTCAGGAGCTATCCTGGCTCTGGTCCACCAGTGACATAGCTCTCTTCCATTCTCCTTAGTGCCACAGGTTATTCTAGAGAACTTCCTGGAACACACACACACACACACACACACACACACACACACACACACACACGAGCTGTTTCTTCATTCTTCATTCACTTCTAGAAGCTAAATCTTGTCATATACAAGTACCAACATTTAGTCTCATTTACTTACTCATTCTTTCAGTAGATATTTATTGAGCATTTTCATATGTATTAAGACTGTGTTGAAGGCTCTGGGTAAGCTGGTCTTTGTGTAAAATAGACCGTCAGTTGTTACAGAAGTGAGGGATGAGGTTGTGACTATTTTGCTTCCAGTTCTTGTGGGTTATTTATTTGCTTGTGCTGTGTGTGTGTGTGTGTGTGTGTGTGTGAGAGAGAGAGAGAGAGAGAGAGAGAGAGAGAGAGAGAGAGAGAGAGAGAGAGAGAGAGAGAGAGAGAGAGAGAGAGAGAGAGAGAGAGAGAGAGAGAGAGAGAGAGAAACAGAGATGGAGATAGAGACAGAGACAAACAGAGAGAGACAAAGAGAGAGGGAAGGAGGGAGGGGGGGTCTCACTGTATCTAGTCCAGACTGGCTTCAAACTCCTCCCTCTTCTGCCACCCCTCCTTGAGTGTTGTAACTGCAGCTGTGCACACCCGCCCCATTAGCCCACTCTTCTTCACCAATGCTAATCCCCTCTACATAGCACAGTACTTGGAACACAGAAGGAACTCAAAACTATATCGCTGGCTGGATGGCCAAATGAGTTGTGAGGAACTGTCAATCGTCCTGTAAAAAGACAGTGGGTTGGGGAAGGTATAGGACGAGAAGAGGTAATTTCAAAAAAGCTGCCCACGGTTATTTAATTATGCTTTGATAAGGTGCTTAGGAGAGTAACGTCCAGAAGTCAACAGTTTCCATGGTCAGACACGAGGAGAAGTCACCCCTTCCATGGTTGGATCAGGCCTTTGCCTTTAGCGACATATGAAGATTGCTTTTCTGGTCTCCAAAGCTGCATCATAGTGACCGAAGCATTGCCTGTGTCCTGCTGGCTACTTGTAGCAAGTTTGACTGCTAAACACATTTCAGCGTCTCTGTTGTTGTGTTAAAAGGATGAGGATGGAGGAATTTGCAAAGTTCTTTTTCCTATGTTGAGCAGTGGAATGCTGTGAATCTTTGTATAAATAGGCTCCTGCTTTATGAGTATTGGAAAAGAACTCACTTCTGAAGGAAGGTGGGGAAGGGCTGGGTGAATCGTCTTCAACAGAAACTTTATTCTTGGACCAGTGAGTGGGTAAAGGTAGACACCACCAGGCATGAACTTGATTCTTGGAACCCATATGGTAGAAGAGAACCAACTCCTTTGACCTCCATATGTACACCATGGCAAGTGCATTTGCCGAGTACGTGCACGCGCGCGCACACACACACATACACAAATAAATAAATGTAATTATGTATATGTATTTTGTATATATAACATATGCATATATATGTATATATATATTTCACTATTTCACTCTTTCTATGAAGAAGAGAATACTGGTACTTGATCACAGATCATAAAAGTGTTCTGTGCAGTTTTTAGGAACCACAATTAGTAGCCTTCTCTGGTTTAACTTTTTTTTTTTCTTTTCAAATAATTCTGTGTATATATTACCCAACTGACTCAAATCAGAACGGGTGAAAACAAGTCAGATTCCCAACTAAACATGACCAATTCTCCAGGGTAAAGACTTGCAGCTTCATCTGGTAAGACTGAAGGGTGACCACGACTCAGCATACCCAGTCAGTTGTGCCGTTGTGCCATTGATGTGTGACACTCTTCAGACCGAGCAGGATTCTCCTTCAGTGCCTTGGAGTTGTATCTGCTTTGGTTAAGATGTCAGTCTGTCGGGGGAAATGGGTTGATTTCGATTTTATTTCTTGACTGGGAATCATTTGATTTTGAAAGTCTTTTGTGAGATGACATGGTGAAAGACTGAGTCAGGAGTAAGAGGCACAGTGGCGGAGGAAAGGAGAGGAAGCCTCTTTGGTGTAGCTTTAAAACTATTATTTGTGTGTGTGTGTGTGTGTGTGTAGGAGCACACACTACCACATGGATGGTGTTATAACATGGATGCAGAGGTCAGAGGACAGCTTTGTGGGAGTTGATTCTCTCTTTCCATCATGTGGGTTCTGGGGATCAAACTTAAGTTGTCAGTTTTGGTGGCAAATGCTTTTTCTGAATAAGTCCTCTCACTCCTCAACAGCCCAGTGAAGAGTCTTTTTAAATCAAGAAACAAAAACAAAACAACAGCATCTGTATTTATCCTGGAAGGCAAACCTGAAGGCTGTGTAGAGAACTGGTGCCATTTTGGCCTCTCCAGGAAACAGGACACCGGAGCCTTGGGTCGGCAAACAATGCGGTCCTTAGGATGCTCTATAGCTCTAGGCTATGACCTGCTTTCTGGTGTCTTGTCTTTGCTAGGCTGTGACTGGTGTCAGGCCTTGAGATAATGGTGATGATGCTGACTAGAAAGTCCTTAGTGACAGGCAGTAGGACCGTGAATGGGTAGAACGCCGGAAGGGTTAGCAGGTTAGCGCCACCAGCTCAGCTCTGTTGTTGCCAGACCAGAAGGGCCTGCCCCTTCTCATCTCCATCTGGGTTAATTGCATCTCAATTTTACCTGTCTCCCAACTTAGAAATCTTAGTGTTTTTCTCACCTCCTTTCTCTCACCCCCCCCCACATACAGTCAGCTGCCAAATCTTGCTGCTTCTAATTTTAAAATGTCACTTGATTCTGTCTCTCTCTCTCTCTCAAATCCTATGCTATTTCCTTAAAATAGGCCTCATCAGATCTTCTTTGGACTGGTACTGTACCAGCCCTATCATCTGTTCCTCTGATAACAGATTCTGCGATCCAGATTCTCCACATCGTTCTCTGCTTCACTGAGAACAAAGCCTTTGAAGTCATTTTTCCCGGTAAAAGAGCCTGTTGTCTCTCGTGCCCCTTGCATTCAAACCCTATAGCTAGTCTCCCTCCCGATGTTGAAATTATTGATCCCCAGTTAGTGACACTGTTTGTGTAAATTTAGGAGCTGTGGCCTTGCTCAAGGAAGTATGCCCCTTGGGCTAGGTTTTGATTTTGAAAAGCATCTATAAGTTCTCAGCATGCTCTTCTGCTTCCCCGTTGTTGTCCTAAGAAGTGAGTCTTTAGCTTCTTTTCAACATGCCATGCCTGCTGCTTGCTGCCACAACTGACTCCTATCCCTCTGGAATCTTAAGCCCAAGAGAGTTAGGTAGCATGTAACACAGAGTATCTTGCTTATTGCCAGTTTTAGCATCTTTCCTACCACAGGCCAAGGCTATGTTTATTCTGTTTACATAATCCCCATATAGTATTGCTAATATTAGTCCACAGCGAGCCAAATCATTCCAACTATTTCACTGAGTTCAAACCCAATGACCCTGATGGGCAGTAATCAGAATTTCTTCTCTTTCACGTGTCTCTTCTTGCACTGAAGAATGTTGTTCACATTGTGCTGTGTAGGAAGAGCCCCTGAAGTAAACTGCCTTAGTCTTCAGGAATTCTGCTTGGCCTGCTTGCAAAAGATCATCACAGCTGGGCCTGTTGATTCTTGATCATTGTAGGAGGGTCGGACAGGGAGGCGCTATGGGACCCTTACAGGAATATCCAATTACCCCTCAATCATTTGTACGTGATTCTGCTCTGCTTGAAGCTGGTCTGGTGGAGGGGCTAGAGGAAGTATGTGGGGGGAAATCAAGGAGGGAGTTCCATCCTAGGCAGCCGTGGAGAATCCATCGTCTCTGCAGGATGAACTTCCGGTGTGGCTACTTTAAGGCCACTTGTGTTCCTGCTCATACCTTTTACCCATTTCTCTGTTTCAGCCTAACAAGCTCATTGAATTCCCTGGGTGAGTTTTGGTGGAATTGTACCGAAGTTTGTCTTTGGGGCCTTAAGGGGAAGAAATAGACTTTACTGAAATTTCTCCCAGGGAAGAAACCCTAGCAGCGCATGGTTTCTTGCTGAAGTGACGCCCCTTTAAACATTTCGCTCCTTGATCGCTTTTCTTCTTCCTGGGTGGGACTGACTGCCTGGTTTAACTCTTCAACTTGTAGCATGGCCAAGTGACTAGACTTTTGGTCTCATTTATTTGTATATGAAGCTATCAATACCACTGAACGTGTTCGGGTTAAATGAGCGAACAGCTAATGCCAGAGTAACCACCCAACCCCCAACGCATGTCACTACGAGATTACCACCTTTCCCTAAAATGTAAGACATTTTAAGTCCCATTTCATTCCATGCGTATCTCTAGATTCTAGAATATTGCTTCCAAATTGCCGATGCCCAACCATGGGGTCCATCTATGCATATACTCGATATTACTATAATTTGAGCATTTCCCGTGTTGTGTACGCAAAAGCAATGGCCGGGGAACAACTGAAAGTCGCCTCCTGGCAAAAACGCTTCCATTTCCAGGTCCCCAGAGACCTCAAGCGACAATCACGCCTCCAAGAGTGGGAAACTCGCCCTGGAATCACCTTGGGACACTCCCGGCGAACGGGCAGCTCGGCGCACGCGCAGCGTCCACCGCTCCGCCCTCCCGGAAGTCGCAGCTCTTTCCGCCCCGCCCCTTGCCGGCTGGGGCGGAGCGTGCGGCGGACCGGGCGAGGAGGCGGGACACGTCGGCGCTGCCTCGGCCGCTGCCGCCCCTCCTCAGGTTCCAGTCGCTGCCGCCGCCGCCGCCGCTTCCTGGGCCGAGTCCGCCCGCGGCCCCAGCGGCGCCAGGTGCCCTCGCTTGCCCGGCTCCGCCAGCGCCGTCCGCCCGCCTGCCCGCCCGCCCGCGTCCCGGCCCCCCGCCCCGCCGCCGACATGGCGACACGCTCCTGTCGGGAGAAGGCTCAGAAGCTGAACGAGCAGCACCAGCTCATCCTCTCCAAACTGCTGAGGGAGGAGGACAACAAGTACTGCGCCGACTGCGAGGCCAAAGGTAGCGCGGGCTTGGTGGCCTCCCGTGGCCGTGACCTTCCCACCCTCCTGCGGCCCTTGACGGGAGGGAGGGCGGGCGGCCTCAGCCTGGGGCTCGGACGGAGGTCGCGGCCTCAGCCTCTGGCTCCCGAGCCGGCGTCGCGACGCTGCCACCGCCTCAGGGCGCCGGCTGGGTGGTGCTGAGGAGGGTTGTGGGAGCCCTCCTGCCTCGTCCCGAGCTGCTCCGTGGGTGGAGTCGCCCTTAGGTCCCTGTCCCCTTCTCGACCCTCCCGCGTGACCACGGCCTCCCGTTCCCCGCTGCCGCCGCGTCCCAGGTGGAGCCTACCTGGCCGCCCACCTGAAAGCCTTTGCGCTGGGCGTTTACTTCTGGTTCTGAAAAAGGACGGTGTTTTGAAATTCCACTGCATAAACATAATCGAGAAAGGCTCTCTCCCTTATTTGTATATATTATGAACCACATATGCACACGTATGTTGACTCTGGATCGCTGTAGTGAAGAGGAGTTTGATTGCGCGTGTGTGTAAAGTGGGCTATGTTTAGTATGTTCATGAGTTTAGTCGTTAGAGTCTTCCCCACGACCCGTTGGAGAATATATGGACACTACTTTGTGTGCTTCATAAACATAGAAGATGCATTTTGACGAACCAGAGATTAAAAAACAAACAAAAAACACTAAATTTAGTTCAGTAGAAGGGCTTCTGCTTGAGCCTTTGAGATAGATACACTATTTTTAGCTGATATGTTTTGTTTGGAGATGTGATTTATTTTTAATGTCTTGTAAGTAATATGGGAGGCATATTGCAGATTAAAAAAAACAAAGCTCGTATGGAGTTAAGAAAATAGTTATTGTAAGTACATTTCTTTGATTATTAATAGGTAGTTGATGGGAATGCTGTCCAAGATTGCTGCATTATTTAACCTACTTTTCTCGAGGTCTTACTGTCTTCTCTCAACACTCTGCAAAAGAGTCCATTGCAGTAGACTGGTGGCATTTGAATAAATTGAGTCTCATAATGTCAGCCTTATCTCTCTGTCATAACAGCTGCTGGCTTACTGGACGAATCACATATACATGCTTTAATTAGAAATTTTATGAAGCACGTTTCCATATTCTGGTAACTTGACTGAGTCAGCTGTATGTCCTATGGAATCGTTAGGCAAGGCCTTTAAAAGAAGAGGTGTGCCTGATTGTCGTGGGAACGTTTGCTTGCTTGATGCTTGGTTCTGCATGCGGTTATTTGGTAATGCTGTTCTGTGTTGAAGCTCAGCTACTTGCTTACCTCGTTACTCATAAACACTCAGAAATGGTTTTCAGAAACCAAGAAAAAGAAAGTTTGCGTTTCATTGTCTTGAGTCATAACATTTAAGATGCTGGTAAATGTGAAAGCTGTCTGTCATTAAAAAGTAAGTGATTCAGGGCTGGAGAGATGGCTCTTCCAGAGCACCTGGGTTTGATTCCCATCACCCACGTGGCAGCTCACTCTGTAGCTCCAGTTATCGGGATCCTATGCCCTCTTCTGGTCCCTGTAGCCAGCAGGGATGCAGATGGTGCACAGACACATGAAGATCGACACACGTTTAAAAAAAATTCACTGAGTCAGTAAGTCTTTTTGTTTATAGAAGTAACTTTAAAATTTTTAATTTTTCTCCAAAACAGTATTGCAGAAAATCAGTTTTTCACTCAATGTGTTAATGGTTTTTCATGTGCTGGTTTTGGGAATGGAAGGAGAGTAGTCTCAGTCTTCTTTAATTAAGTGGTTTTACTTCTGAAGGGTAGGCGACATTTGTTTTTATCATTATTGTGTGACCACAGAAGTCAATCCATGTATGGTGAATGAACAGCTTTAGTGTGTGTGTGTGTGTGTGTGTGTGTGTGTGTGTATCCTTTTCTCTTGCGATGTGGAAAAGTAGGATAAACTAGTATCAAGAGTTCAAAGGGTAGAACTTGAAGGTCATGAAATCTGTTGTCATAATTTAGAAATATTTTTTCTACTAAATCTAGAATAATAATAAAGCATTTTTGTAAATTATTTCATTGTTTTATCCTGATACTTCAGGAAATATCCACAGGTAGAGCCATTTCTTAATTAGGCTTGATTTTTTAGTTTTGTGTGTGTGTGCTGGAGAAATCAAACACCAGTGATTTATACATGGTAGGCAAGTCATTTTACCACTGTTTTATCCCTGGCTTTTTTTTTCCTCCCACTTTGTTTTGTGATGGGTTCATATGTAGTCCTGGTTGATCTGACTCTCATGGTTTTCCTGTCTCTGTCTCCTGAGTATGCATTGCTACACACTGTATAACTTTAAATATATTTCTGTAAAGTTTTTGTGTCTTTGTTATGGGTGAGCTAATAATGGCATATTCTTATAGTAGAATTCTTGACTTTTTGTATGAGTTTTCAATATGTTGTTATACGCGCCAATAATGTAATAAATGTGGGATGTGAAGTTCTGATTAAATGTACCCATGAAAGACACAAGGATCTTTCTTAGATCAGTTATTGAGACGTTCCATTCTGTATATGTATCAGTGTTTCCCTTGCTGAATAGTAATTGCATTGAACTTTTACTCTGTCTTAAAACTATTTCCTGGTTAATTCTGTTTTCTTACTTTCAAAGACTATTTTCCTCATCCTTTGAGAACATGTACCTAAACTAAAGCGTAGGGTTAATAGTTGCCCTGTTCTGTTACCTCCCGTCTGTTACCTCCCGATAATTAGTAGAGGAATACCAGTTGGATTTTGACATTTTCTTAGTCACTAGCTTGTATTTCCTGTACTGACAGTTTTAGTAAGGAAGGAAAACATGATGGCACAGGTGCTAGCTAGTTTCTGCTCCTGACCCTGCTCGTCAGTACATTGTACAACTGGAGAGTGAGAACTGCCAGATGCAGCTGCACGTCTCTGGCTGTCTGTGACTGTGGGAGTTAAAAAGCAGTTCTCTGGGTTATTAATTGATGGCAGTGAGGATGGGAAATTCCTTTGCCATCTTAAATTTGGTTTCAGAATTTAGAGCTTAATCCATAAGTAATACTGGTTTTGATCTTTTTAAATACATAAAAATTAGAATGAAAATTATTCTCTTGTTCAGTAGTTAATTTCAGGGCAGTCAGAAGTTCATGTTTTTGAACCCAATAGTTCATTTTGTTCAAACTTTCTAGTATCTGGAAGAGAAGCTGTTTAGTTAGATCAAACACTTCTTTATTCCACAGTCTTTAGGACAGTTAAGCACTGGATTAGGTTTTGGGGCACAAACATTTGTAAGACTGAAAAGAGCGTGTTTAATGGAGACTGAATATTGGAATAATTCTGAAAGTGTGCTGAGTGCAAGAGTAGCAGCTATAAGACGCGACCCCCTCTTTTCTAGCTCTTTCCCTGGGTCTTGACCTTTGCCCATTGGCTTTTCATGATTCCCAGAGTGTCACCCCATGCCTTTTCACATACTGGTCCTACTCCTACCTCTAAGCCTTCTGCCTTTTTTTTCTCCCCTTGCTCAGCTTCTGCGCATCTTTACAATTTGCTTAAATATCTTTTCCAGGGAATGAGTTCCCCTTCGTCCTCCCAGACTGAGTTATGCTTTCATTTGTACATTTGAGACATTGCCCTGAATCTTACTTACACAATTATAATTAGAACATTACTGAAGTAATGATTGGGCATTCCATATTCCTGTTAAATGAATTATAGCTTTGAAGGAGAAGAGATCTTGTTTATCTTGCTCAGAGTCGTTTCTTCAGCCCTAAGCACAGCGAATGACATTTCGTAGGTAAATGGAACTCAGCAAATACCTTTTGGTTGTATGAATGAATGGAAGAATGAACATGGAGTCAGTGGCAGGAAGCTAGGTGTGTGAATGAGGGTGCATCTGTAAAAGGGAGTGGCATTTGTTAATCACCGGAGTCTTGGGAGTTAAGGTAGTGTGCTTTCGCTAGGTAGAGCAAGAATTAGAGGACACAGCTGTATGTCACACAGGGTATGGTATATGAGAGGTAGAAGTGGTTTCTGTATGGCCATTTTATTTTGGTAATCAGTCACTAAGTAAGATCAGATTTGATAGTGGCGAATCAGAGGAAGAGTCAGGATGGTAGAAATGATTAGAGAGTCATTTAGTGAGGTGATGTTTCCTAGTAGACAACGGATGAGGATAAAGGGATTGTCAAGTGTATGGACCAGGGTGTAGAGCAGGAAACAGCCACTGTATCTGTTTTTTGTCAGGGACTCTAGAAATCATTGGGAAAACTGCAGGAAGTAAAACTTAGGAGTCATTTCTGGACTTTCACTTGATAGGCCACACATCCTGCCACTGTTGTCTTGGCCTGCTTTTCACTCTCACAGTTGGTGATAGGTGGGAGGATTGAGACACTATTAGACATTTTTGTCAGTTGTCCCTACTGTAGGGGTACGGCTCATACTACATTTGTGCTTTTTATGTGCATGTAGTTGGCAGAATCTAATCAGTTCAGACACCTTGACTTCTGAGGAGTCTTGTCTCTTTCTAATCTCCTCAGAAAGCTCAGAAACAGCTGAGCTTGTTTGCTTGCAAGAGCCAGTCCCAAGAGTTAACAGGGGAGGGTTCAGAACAGGTTTTAGTGTGTGTGTTATTTTACACTTGTTGGAGAAAATTCTTCTAGAGAAACTTTTACTGAAAAGTAAAGTTTACCCTGGGGAGCTGATGTTAATCTTACAGAATTAGTTTATATACACAGAGGTGTGTGATTATAATTCTTTTAAAACGTTGTCAATTTGAGAGTTTTCTCAAATGCTGAGCCTTAATCTTTGTGGCTCTGTTGTCCTTCGGGTTCTGCTAATGCTCTCTCTGATGATCCTGTGCTGATCCCTCATCCCAGAGCTGGAGTGGAAACCACTGGTCTCTCACTGATATAGTATTGTAAAACCTGAATTTTTTTTCTTTCTCCTTTTTGTCCTTTAAAGATTTATTTATGATACTCTTTAATTTTTGGCTTCATCACTGGAGAATTACATTCTGGTAGATCACGTA